CATGAAGGGGGCATTTGAAGGAGAAGAACAAAAGAATACACCTGACTGTATTCACATGGGCAAACAGGGAACAATTCACAGCCAGCAGTACTGGTGGACAGTGAGTGATTCAAAATGGTGATTTCCCCAAAGCTGAGGTAAATTAGCAACAAAACTGATTAAGGGTATGTCTTGACTGCAATGCTTTTCCGGGATACTGGAGATATCTGTAATTTGGAACAAGCAGAGTACAATAAGGAAGAAGCAGAACCAATGAGAGAGAGACACTTTCCTAGGAATCCCAATCAGCTGCTGTGTCCCATGTACCTCCAAGCCGACAGAACGGTGTGCACCATTCACAGCACTGCAATCCCCTCACTCTTCTCTCAGCCTGTCACGGAGAAGCAGCATCTGCATGGAAGCCGCCTGGAGAGCAGCCTGGTACAGCACTGCAATCCCCTCACTCTTCTCTCAGCCTGTCATGGAGAAGCAGCATCTGCATGGAAGCAGCCTGGGTGCTCTTCTGGGCTATTTATCCAGCTCTAGGAGTAAACAGTAGTTAAGGCAAATCCCTAGAGGGAGAGGAGAACTCTTGGGCTCTGGGCTGAGTCAGGGAGGAATTGGGTATTTATCAGTTGTCGCTGATTAGGAGGAAAAACGTGGGATAATGGCTAGATCTCCAGAGGGCTCTCTGATCCGCCGTGAATGCCTGGGCTGACTGTGGACAGACAGATGTGCAGAAGGCTGATTGTAGGGAAGAAGAGCACTTTCCCCAGACATTCGAGCTGCCAGCAATGGATCAGAGATTGGTATTGCTCATTGGTAGCTACCATTCCACTGGGCCGCACCTTCCACTGAAAGGTTTTCAAAACCCTCGGCAAGGAAAGCAGCTTTGTTCACATCCCCATTGTACAGAGAGGCCCATTCCACTGGGCCGCACCTTCCACTGAAAGGTTTTCAAAACCCCTAGGCAAGGAAAGTGGCTTTGCTCACATCCCCATTGTACAGAGAGGCAAACTGAGGCATGAGGGGACATGAATTAGCCATGGTCAGAGGGAGACGGGATGCCAAGATGGCAAAGGGAACCCAGGCACTCTGACTTCCCTGCTGTAGCCCCAGTCCCTCCCTCATGCCAAGGGGGAACAGACTCCTGCTCCGGGACATAGTGGCAGGGACTGTTCATGGGCCGTGATGCTGAGGACAGGCAGGAAGAGGCAGGCCAGCGAACCAGGTGGGAGGAGGGAGGGAGGGAAAGGGGGACAGTTGAACCGGAACCTGGTGATATAAAAGGACCCCAAAGTTCCTGGCAGCAGCCAGAGCCCTGGGCCCTTAAAATTGCTGCTGCATTGCTACACAGAGAGCTCCGGGCAGCAGTGAGCACTGGGGGTGGAATTCCGGAAGGCACTGAGGTGGCCCCTCCCCTTCTGCCCAAAGCCCCACCCCTTCTTGGGGCACAGGGCAACCTCCCAACCCCCATCCAACCTCTGCCTTGTCCAGGGGGCTGGTGAGGCTGTTGGCCCCACTGGGAAGAGGCAGCCTGAGCCTTCCCCTTTCTCTGCAGGCGAGTCTGAGAACCAGCTGGAAGTGGTGACTTCTCGCTCCGGTGAGGTGGGAGCTGCAGGACTGCACGTCAGAAACCTGCCAGCCCACCACAGTGCTGGGGACCACTTCGCAGGATCAGACTCACTGCACACTGCCAACAATGGATCAGAGATTGGTATTGCGCATCAGTGGCTATCATCACACAGGCCTGCAACTTCTTCTGAAGGACAGATGAAAATGCACACCCTTAGGTTAGGGGAGAAAGAAGGCCAGCAGAAAAAGACACTATCTGAAAACCTTGCTGGGATGGAGGCAGCGAACGGGTTTACGAAGTGTGTGTAATCCCGGAACACAAATCTAGCGTCCAGACTGCAATCGCTCTATTTCGACAAAATATTGAACATAAGAACATAAGACCGGCCGTACTGGGTCAGACCAAAGGTCCTTCTAGCCCAGTAACCTGTCTGCCAACAGTGGCCAGCACCGGGTGCCCCAGAGAGGGTGGACCGAAGACAACGATTAAGAGTTTGTCTCCTGCCATCCCTCTCCAGCCTCTGACAAACAGAGGCCAAGGACACCATTTCTATTCCCTGAGTAATAGCCTTTCATGGACCTAACCTCCATGAAATTATCTAGCTTCTCTTTAAACTCGGTTATAGTCCTAGCCTTCACAGTCTACTCTGGCAAGGAGTTCCACAGGCTGACAACACGCTGTGTGAAGAAGAACTTTCTTGTATTAGTTTTAAACCTGCTACCCATTACCCATTAATTTCATTTGGTGAAATAACGGAGAGCTTTTTCCGAAGGCGGTAAACCTCTTTCCATGAGGGAGAAGAGAAGAGAAGAGAAGAGAAGAGAAGAGAAGAGAAGAGAAGAGAAGAGAAGAGAAGAGAAGAGAAGAGAAGAGAAGAGAAGAGAAGAGAAGAGAAGAGAAGAGAAATAAAACAAGCAAATCATGCATAGCACATCATAACTTTCCCATTGACACGTGACAGGACATATGTTGTAGAAGATTTGTAGCAACTGCACAGAAGTGGTAGCAACAATAATGAAAATGGTCATATTCAATGATGCAAAATCACCCCATGTTCTCATTCCAAGAGGTGCTACAGAAGCTAGCAAAAATAATTGAGTTTGTTTAGTTTAGAAAAGAGAAGGTTTAGAGGGGACATGATAGCAGTTTCCGGTATCTAAAAAGGTGTCATAAGGAGGAGGGAGAAAACTTGTTCATCTTGGCCTCAGAGGATAGAACAAGAAGCAATGGGATTAAACTGCAGCAAGGGAGGTTTAGGTTGGACATTAGGAAAATGTTCCTAACTGTCAGGGTGGTCAAACACTGGAATAAATTGCCCAGGGAGGTTGTGGACTCTCCATCGGTGGAGATATTTAAGAGTAGGTTAGATAAATGTCTATCAGGGATGGTCTAGACAGTACTTGGTCCTGCCATGAGGGCAGGGGACTGGTCTCGATGACCTCTCAAGGTCCCTTCCAGTCCTTGTATTCTATGATTCTATTATTCTAAAAAACCCTTCCCAGCTAGGGGAAGCATCTTGTTTGTGGGTGTCACCGAGGAGCAGCAATATTTGAAATACAGACACAGAGTCAATATTCATAACTCCAGACCCAAAAGTGAGATGCGTGGACACACAGGATAATCACGTTCAGCAAATCAGAACTTTTCCAATGACACCGCACATGACATACTTTGTACAGGATGCATGATAGTAACATTCTAATTGTACAACTGTGATAAATCGGGGCTGCATAATGTGAAGGGCTGTGTGTATCCTGTGAGAACAAAACATCCAAAGGTAAAATTTCACCTGAGAAGAGAAAAGTGAGGAAAATCCTTAGAAGAATTCTTAACAGATGGAAGTGGGGGAATGGTCCAGCTCCTGTAGGAAGCTTTCCTGATGTATATTCCACCCATTAGACAAAGTGTTGCCTGATCTGAGACGGCTGATGTAATTTCCAGTTACCACCTTTATGCTTGACAGGCTCTGTGCTTGGTAACCCTGAAGGGCACAGATACAACACTCATACTATGGCAAGATATTCCAAAAAATCAGCTGTTTTTCTGGAAAAACTTGCCAGCTGTCTACACTGGCCACTTGAATTTCCGCAAAAGCACTGACGATCTCATGTAAAATCATCAGTGCTTTTCTGGAAAAACTATGCTGCTCCCGTTAGGGCAAAAGTCTTTTTGCAGAAAACGGTTCCAGAAAAGGGCAAATGTAGACAGCACAGTAGTGTTTTCCGCAAAAAAGCCCCGATCGTGAAAATGACGATCGGGACTTTTTTGCGGAAAAGCTCGTCTAGATTGGCCATGAACGCTTTTCTGGAAAATCTGCTTTTCCGGAAAAGCATCCTGCCAATCTAGATGCTCTTTTCTGAAAATGCTTTTAACGGAAAACTTTTCCGTTAAAAGCATTTCCGGAAAATCATGCCAGTGTAGACGTAGCCTGCAGGAACTCTTGTATATAGGTAGTTTATTAACACATCATCCTCATCTCCAGCACCTTCCTCATCATCACCAGTGGCTTCTTTCTAGCACCTCCCAAACACTGTGTCTCCTTTTGCTGCTCCTCCTAGGCTGGGATGCCCCTTTTATCATCTCTTACACTGGTGTTGTTATATCTGATGCATATTCCGTAGGAGCTGTTTTCTTTTCTCTTTGTTTGTATTTCCTCACCTTACTATGGTGAAGTGTCTTTTTCTAATAGGTCAGTGTATCAGTGATCTCAACTTATTCTCATAAATGTCAGTTTGTTACCGTGGGCCTTTTGTGGTTGCCTATCACATTTGACAATGAAGATAAGGGAGCGAATAATTAAGGAATCCCCCTACAAACATTTGGAAGATAATAACATGATTTGTAAAGAACAAATCATGTCAAGCCACTCTGACAGCTTTCTTTGATAGGATAACGAGTCTTGTGGAAAAGGGAGAAGTCATGGATGTCGTATACCTAGGCTTTAGTAAGGCATTTGACATGGTCTCACGTGATATTTTCATCAATAAACTAGGGAAATACAACCTATATGGGGATACTATAAGGTGGGTGCATAGCTGGCTGCATAAACATTCTCAGAGTGTAGTTATTAATGGTTCACAGTCATGCTGGAAGGACATAAAAAGTGGGGTTTCACAGGGGTCTGTTTTGGGACCTAGAGAAGTGGTGGAAACTCCAACACTAGAGGTTTTTAAGTCCCAGCTTGACAAATTCCTGGCTGGGAAGATTTAGTTGGGGTGGATCCTGCTTTGGGCAGGGGCTTAGACTCAAAGGCTCCTGAGGTCTCTTCCAAACCTAGGATTCTGTGAGTCTAACTGTAAAGTTAGAGAGTTAGAGAGTTAAAGAGTTCTCCTTACACAGATTGCCCAATTATTCATATGACACCGAACAGGCCGAGTCAGTGATCCAGGAAAATGTGTCTGGCATTAGCCATCTCTGCAGAGGCACAAAGCACACGAAGAAAACTTTATGTCCCTTTACGAGTGAAGAGACGGAGCAGCCTGTCCCGGATCTGTTTGGTCTTCAACCCGTAGATGATGGGGTTCAGCATGGGGGGCACCAGGAGGTACACGTTGGCAAGGAGAATGTGGAAGTTCAGGGGCACATTCTGGGCAAATCGGTGTGCAAGAAAGGAGAAAAGAGAAGGGATGTAAAAGGATAAAATGGCACAGAGGTGGGACCCACATGTCCCAAAAGTCTTGAGCCGGGCGTCCTTTGTGGGGAGGCTGAAGATGGTCCCGACGATTAGAACATAGGATGCAGTGATGAAAACGATATCCATACCCATAACAGAGAAGATCACAAACAGACCATAGTAACTATTGACACGTATGTCAGCACAGGACAGCTTTGACACAGACATGTACTCGCAGTAAGAGTGGGGGATGATGTTGGTTCGGCAGTACGGCAACCTCCATGCAAGGAAGGGATGAGGCATTGTGGCTGTACAACCACGAAACATCACTGCCAAACCAATCTTGGCCACCACAGGATTCGCCAAGATGGTTGAATATCTCAGGGGGTGGCAGATGGCCACGTAACGATCCAAAGCCATTGCCGAAAAGATCCCTGACTCTAATGCAGTGAAGCAGTGAATGAAGTACATCTGCATGAGGCAGGCATTGAAAGGGATCTCCCTGGAATTGAACCAGAAGATTGCCAACATTTTAGGCAGGATGGATGTAGACAGGACCAGGTCGGTGATGGCCAGCATGCTGAGGAAATAGTACATGGGCTCATGGAGGCTTGGCTCCCTCTTCACAATGAACAGGATGGTGAAGTTCCCCAAGACGGCTATTACATAAATGGCACAGAAGGGGATGGAGATCCAGACATGGGCTGTTTCCAGGCCAGGGATGCCCAGCAAGATGAAGGAGGATGGGTTGGTGAAGTGGGTTGTGTTTGAATCTGACATGGAGCAGGGGAGACGGTCTCCAACTGTGAGGCAGAATGATGTCTCTGGAATGTACCATATGTTCCCCAGACTTCTTGTGCGTGCCCTGGATCTACGGTGATGGTCGCAGTAGAAATACAGACATGCCTGCATGGAAAGACAATGTTGATGCCAAATCCGTATTTGATGGTGTTTTGTGTGTCAGCAATTCCTGCACATCACAACTTTGAAAACCTTAATGGAAACTAGACTGTGGCCTCTGTTTGTCCCTCTTTGGCCCTTATATCAATGATCCTGAGCTAGAAAGTCGATGCCGTAAGGAGAGTCCCAAGTACATGGTCGCTCACCTGGAGTTAAAGATATGGTCATCAACAAGCATCTACAAAGGGCTGAGCAGAGATAAAAGGGATTGTTCAAAGAGGTTCTTGGAACGGGGGTGGCTCCCTACTTCAGACAGACTGTAACGTCTGTGAGAGTTTAGTTGAGAGAAGAAACAGAGGAGGGGGTATATGAAGAAGAAGAACAAAAGAATAGAGCTGACTGTATTCAAACTGACAAACGGAGAATAATTCCCAACCAGCAGTTCCTGTAGAAAGAATAGTGCGGCAAAAGGCCTTTTTCACTATTTTTAGAAGAGTGGATTTTCCTAAAGAGATTTTACCTGACTCTGGGTCATATTTCATGTCTCAACTATTCAGTGAGTTATGAAAGCTGAAATAACTAATAAGAAGGTGAAATAACTAAAAACTATCTCATATCACCAACAGATATTCAGTGTGGAAGGAAAGAAATATACATGACAAAGGAGGGAAAATAGAGAGCAATCAACACCTATTGGCAAGGGCGCCATTTTGGGACAGTCAGCGGGCATCAGCCGTGTGTACTGGGATGTGGCTTGCTTCTCTTCCCATTCCTCTGATAATCGGAGAGAGAGAGAAAAGTACTTGGATTCTGGAAATTACTCTTCTGCCTGCTCCCTTCACCACCCAGCAGAGACAAGCATGCACGGGATTCAAGTACCATCCCCTCACTCCTTTATCATCAGAGGAATGGAAAGAGAAGCAAGCCGCGTCCCCCTATGCATGACTCCTGCCCGCTCCCGCCCTTCCCAAATGGTGCCCTTGCCTATTGGAAGTTCTGACGATAGAAAACCCCCAGTGTGGTAGGAGTCAGGATTCCACAATGTGGGTTATTACATACATTAAAGACAAAATAAAACCTCGACATGCTGCAGACTAATTCCTACGAGGAGAAAAAAAAGTTTTTCATGTGGCAGAAACTGTAAAGGCCTTCAAGAAATATTCCTGCATTTACAAGGAAGTAGCATGGGGTGCACAGGCTGTGATGAGATAGTTTCCAATCCATTAGAAGTCAAAGAGGATGTTAAATTAAATTACATTTACAGGGCACTGCAGAGCTATGCACGGCACAGGTACAAACTGACCGATCAACTACACATCTCATTCATAAGAACGGCCAGACTGGGTCAAACCAACGGTTCATCTAACCCAGTCTCCTTCCTGCCAATAGTGGCCAATACCAGATGCCCCAGAAGGAGGGAAGAAAACAAGTAATTCTCACGTGATCCTTCCCCTGTCACCCGTTTCCACACAAACAGGCTAGAGACACAGTTGTTACCCATCGTGGCTAATAACCAGGACTCGACAAATAATGCAATCTACTCACTCATGGTGAGTAGATTTCAACCTGGAAGAGCCGGGTTCCTGCGATCTGCACATGCGCAGAACTATCTGGGCATGCGCAGATCGCTGGACAGCACAGCTAGCGAGCAGGGCTCGCCGCGATTCGGCGAACCCTGCAGATCTCATTGTCCGGTATAGCAAACCACGGCCAATGGGAGCTGCAAGCAGTCGTGCCTGCAGACACTAAGGTAAATAAAGCAAATGATACACTTTGGGTCTGTATCAGTAATCCCAGCATCTGTAACCGGATGTTGTCAAAGAGAGAGAGAGAGAGAGGGAGGGAGAAAGATAGAGAAATTGACCATGCTTGGAGCCCTAGCCTTCACCACATCCTCTGGAAATGAGTTCCACAGGTTGACTATGAGTTGATGATATCTATCCTTCGGAATAAGCAGTGTGCAATCAGGAAGAAATAGATCAAAGAGAGAGAGAGTGAGAGAGAGAAAGACAGAGGGAGGGAGAAAGATATTTCCCTGGTCTTGTCGAACAAGAAACAGCTATCTGTGAGTTTGGGGACATAAGGGCCTTTCCTAGGAATCCCCATCAGGCTGCTGTTTCCCATGCACCTCTCACCCCAGCATCCACTGAATACTCCCGCGCCGCAAGCCGACATAGTGGTGTGCACCATTCACAGCACTGCAATCCGCTCACGGTTTTCTCAACCTGTCACGGAGAAGAGGCATCTGCATGGAAGCAGCCTGGAGAGCAGCGTGGTCCCTCTTCTGGGCTATTTATCCAGCTCTAGGAGTAAACAGCAGTTAAGGCAAGTCCCCAGAGGGAGAGGAGAACTCGGGCTCTGGGCGGAGTCAGGGAGGAATTGGCTGCTCTGTGCGTTTGTGTGTATTCATCAGTTGTAGCTGATTAGGAGGAAAAACGTGGGATAAAGGCTGGATCTCCAGAGAGTTGGATCCCCTGTGAATGCCTGGAATGGATGGAACAGAAGAACGGCCAGACTGGGTCAGTCCAAAGGTCCATCCAGCCCATTGTTGTGTCTGCCAACAGTGGCCAATGCCAGTTGCCCCAGGAGACTGACTGTGGACAGACAGACGTGGAGAAGGCTGATTGCAGGGAGAGATGAGAGCTTTCCCCAGACATACGAGCTGCCAACAGTGGATCCACAACTGGTATTGCTCAACGGTAGCTACCATTACACTGGGCCGCATCTTCCACCGAAGGGTCTTCAAAACCCCTAGGAAAGGAAAGCAGCTTTGCACACATCCCCGTTGCACGGAGAGGCAAACTGAGACATGGGGGGACATGAATTAGCCATGGTCAGATGGAGACGGGATGCCAAGATGGCAGAGGGAACCCAGGCACCCTGACTTCCCTGCTGTAGCCCCAGTCCCTCCCTCATGCCAAGGGGGAACAGACTCCTGCTCTGGGACATTGTGGAAGGAACTGATCATGGGGCGTGATGCTGAGGAAAGGCTGGAAGAGGCAGGAGGAGGGGAGGGGAAGAGGGACAGTGTAACTAGAACCTGCTGATATAAATGGACCCGGAGCTCCCGACAGCAGCCAGAGCCCTGGGCCCTTAAAATCACTGCCAGATGGCTGCACAGAAAGCTCCGGAAATCATGGAGGGCTGGGGCGAGGCATTCCGGAAGGCACTGAGCTGACCCCTCCCCTTCTGCCCATAGCCCGACCCCTTTTGGGGGCACAGGGCAACCTTCCTACCCCCACACACCCTCTGCCGTGCCCAGGGGGCTGGCGAGGCTGTCAGCCCCACTGGGAAGAGGCAGCCTAAGCCTTCCCCCTCCTCCGAGTAGTTTTCCACCCCAACGGGGTGGGGGTGTTGGGCGCAGATGGGCTGTGCTGTGATCGTCGCCTTCTTGGCCTGGCCCTTCCGCTTCAGTCTGTGCACGTGGATGTATGTGCAGCACCAGTCTGTGCCATGCAGCCCCTGGAGGCAGCCCCAGAGCACCCCCAGGGTCCTGCTCACAGGCTCTGGGTAGGCCACCCACACTTCTGTCCCCCCAGTGGGAAGCCATCCCACCACCAACCACTGCTGGAAGGAGGCTGGGGACAAGGGCACATGCCCACACGTGGACTCTGAAGTGCCACACACGGCACACGGCCATGCCTGCATGCTTGAGGCAGCACCCACTCCTGGGGACAGTGTTGCCGGGTACAGGTGTGTGTGTGGCCCCGATGGAAGCCCAGGATGCTCGAGGCTCCCTTCCCCATTCCTGGTGGTGGACTCAGGGCTGGAGACACCAGTCTTCACCCACCCAGGGGTCAAGCCCAGGAGGAGGAGGAAGTCACAGCCAGCATGATGACTACCATGATGCTGGAGGCAGTACCCTACAGCCTGGATGTGTCCCAGGCATCCTCCAAGGCCGGGGAGAGATTACCAGCTGAGTTCTCATCGTTTTTCACACACACATATCATGGGCAGTGTGTATGGAGGAGCTGGAGTGCGATCGTCACTCGGCCTTCTTGGCCTGGCCCTCGTGCTGCAGTCGGTGCATGTGGATGTATGTGCAGCACCAGTCTGTGCCACGTAGCCCCAGGAGACAGGTCCAAAGCACCCCTGGGCTCCTGCTCATGGGCTCTGGGGAGGTTGCCCATGCTTCTGACTCCCAATGAGGAGCCCCTGCTGGAAGGAGGCTGGGGACAAAGTCACAAGCCCGCACAGAGACTCTGCTGTGCTGTATGCAGCACACGGGCACGCCTGCATGCTTGAGGCAGCACCTGCTCCTGGGGACAGCGCAGCCAGGCTGCTCGAGGCCCCTTTCCCAGCCATTCGATCCCAGCGTGGCCCCACGTTTTCCTTGCCTGCTTGTCTGTGGGACTAGGGGGTGGGGTGGGAAGCATGGTCCCCTGGAAACCTCTGGGCCCCTGTAAGGCAGGATCCACTGTCCAGGCCACACCTGGCCTTGCTCCTGGGACATCACCTTCCAAGAACTCTTGCTCTCAGCTTACAGATGAGGGCAAGGCCTCAGGGACAGTGTCTCCAGGGATGATTGACCATGTCTTTTTATTCTCCCCAGCCGGACCAGCCGTGACTGTGGGGTGATTGACACCACCCAGCCAGCCGCCTGACTGGGGGGAGCTGCAGGTGTTGCAGGTTCCAGGAGGAGCTCATGAGGGAGCAGGTGTCCATCTTCCGGGACATGCAGCAGATGCTGGCCCAGAAGGTCCGGGATGATGTGCAGTGGCAGGCCCAGATGTGGACAGAGCTGCTGTAGAAGAGACACAACATCTGTGTGTGACCATCCAGGAGCTGCTGATCTAGCTGGCACCAGTCCCGGTCCCTACTGCAGTCCCTGCTCCCCCTCCCATGTCCAACCCCTTCCAGGTCCCCCTCCTGCCTATCTCCCTGTC